GTGGGGTTTACAGTCCCTGCTGAGCTCTGCACAGCTTGGGACTGTACACAGACTGTGTGGCTACCACAGGTGCCAGTGACTTACAAGGACTCGTGTATGGGTGGCTTCTGGGATAGGGAATGTACACCTGACCTGTAGGTGATCCTTTCTGCTGACATTTCTAATCCATTGATCTGTTCCTCAGGTGAAAGTTCTTTGTGGGTCTGTCAGGCCTTGTCTGCGGTGGCAAGGAGATGTTCTACTTCCATCTGCTTAACTTCTTGACATAAAGTCTGCAAAAGATTGAATATGAAAAGGACAGTTTAGCACCAGTTAAAATGAATGCAGTATAGGTATCTGGGGTATTTTTCCTCAACCAGTTGCATGCTAAGGTAGAACCTCTAAAGCCTTGTCTTCACTGAGGAGTCGTACTGAGGTCACTTACCTAATGTGGTGCTCTGTACACATTCTGTCTTTAGGTGTTAAGACAAAAGTGACAAGATGTACAAAAGTAAAATATGAAAGCAGAACAAACAAAAAGGCAAGATATGGTTTATTTCCTAACGATATAATCTTACTGAGACAAAAGTTGGTTTGGAAAGGACAGTGGAAAATTACAGAAGTAATTTAGGCAAGGTCAAATAGTAATCTCACATTTTCTGCTAACAGTTGCTGAATATGATCTACACATGTTGTGACTTGTGTAAATAATTTTTTAGCTTAACTTTCCTATTCATAAGTTGTGGCTGAAGAAAAAAAAAAAAAGCCTGCACTGTTCCTTTCCCTTAATCTTCTCTTTCTTCTTCACACACTCTTTTGCATTTGGTGAGCCATTTTTTAAACACACCAAGTCATCTCTGTGTGTTTTATGTACATTATTATTATTATGTACCTTATGCTTGCACATCAAGAGGCAACTCTATAGAAAACTATGGTTTTAACACACTACAGTGGTATTGATGGCTTCTCAGACTGGCACTTGATGCTTTAATTAATTTTTTCTTGCTTTTTGTTTCTATTACTTAATGAAAACATGCCCTATCAAAATTTATTTACTGGGATGCCATCAAAGTACTTTATACTTGAAGCATTTTCACTAGTTTATTATCATAATATTATTCATAAATATTAACATATTTATTATTCATATTATTGTATGAAAACCTATTTTGCATTTATCTCAGTAGATGTGGTATCCAGCTTTAGTGTTTTATTTTATGGGTTTTTCCATCTTCATGTGTGTGCCAGGTGCTGGGAAAGCAAGTACAAAGACAGGTCCTTGCCCTGTTGCACATCCTCAGCAAGGGAGGACATTAAGGAAAGGAGTTCACAGCTAAGAGGTTCCATACATCTGCTCTGAGCAGCCACAATAATTTTGTTATTGTTGCAGCTTTTTAACACATATTTCACCGGTGGAATTTTGAAGATAAATCTTTTTCATAAGATGATGGGAGGGCTCTGTGTGTTAAGCTGAAGTCTGTGACCCCTGCCATTTTATGAATAAAAGTGACAAGAAACCTCTTGCCTCACTCAATAAAAAGATCAGTCACAACAGTGATTTACCAATTTCATATGTCTTTATCTACATCAAGGTTCCCTCTAGGAACATGTGCTGTATCAGTCAGTGAGAAATGCAGTGCAGATACTGGACAGAAATGCAGTTTCCAACAAAAATGCATTCCACCTAGAAATGGATTTTAGGGCAATTTCGTGATCAGGAATGTAGTATTGCTATTAAATCTTATAGTTTTTATTCTCATGTTTGTTGCCATGTTTTCTGGTCATGAGCAGCTTATGTAAGAGTGGTGTAATGATTGTAAAGGGAGTTCAGGAAGGGGGCCAGAATCACTGCAGTCTCTTCCTGCTGCACAGCACCTAATATCACCTCTATTTGAAAATTCAGTATAATGACTCATAAGCACAGGAATCCATAAACGAAAAGGTAAAAAAGGAGGGCCCCTGGAATGTTTGGGGAAAATATGAGAAATCACCATTTCTGTCCTGTTGTGATGTCTGTTTTAAGGATTATATTAATAATATCAGTAGTAATAATAATGTAATAGCAACAATAGCAATATATATCTCCAGGTATGGGGAGCATCCAGAAGGATTCATCTTGTGTGGCTTTGGATGTTTACACTGCAATGGATGCTCCTAGTAGATTGTTCATCAGGTCAGGCTTAGATGATTGCTTCAGGATGATACAACTTGTGTTATGACAGCAACTTGGTTAAAATAAAGTCCAGAAAGTTACTTCAGATGTAGAAGACAATACAACAGGTATGTAAAGATTGGTAAAAGGAATCTCATCTCCAGAGCTAATTGCTATCTCTAGTTTCCTAATCAGCTCTCCTGATGCAGTCATTGTAAGTTCTCAAAAATCCTGGTACATGTTTTATGTACTGGCACCTTTATATTTTGGATATGGTGGTGAGAAAACTTCACTTAAATCTGCTGAGGGCCTCAATTCATTAATTGTGCTCTCGATTTCACGTGTTACAGGTGGCCAACATAAGCACAACTATCATAATTTTCCTTTTTAAAAGCGCAGTTGAAGAGAGCATTCAAACTTAGCTTAAACACTCTGGATACTCTGGTGGTGACAAGTAAGTAATTTTTAGGATTTATAATAATACTTTGTTTTCTCATCCTAAATAGATACTCATCAACATTTCCATCAGTATGGAAATACGTCAATAGTTAAATACATCATTGCATCTATTTGTCTGGTTCCACTTGGTAGCCTCAAGTTTTTCAGGACAGAGTGATTGCAATAATAACTCTAAAAAAAACACTATTGTTGAAAGTTATGGGGAAGGAGTCAATCTCTACAGACCAGGAACCAGTGCCTAGTCCTACAAGGTGTACTGAAATATATCTGTTGTCTTAAATTTGCTTATGATAAAAAGACCTAAGAGTATCTGCTTGTTTCAAAGAGAAGGCAGAGCACTAGTCCTGTTGCTCAGCAGTCATAAGGACTAGCTCTGTGTGAATAGTAGGAGTTTAATGTTGGTTTCTAAATTATGCCATAGTTGTTTAGAAGATAAAAATTTACAAGTCTGAGACTCCAGAAAGCTCATTTTTAATGTCCTCATCTTGCTCTTTTCCTAAATTATTTCAGTGATATTGGTAATAAATTTGATTTTAGTCACTGTTGCACAGATCTGCGGCTGTTCTGCTGAATACTGTATGAACATACGCATGCATGTGCACTCCCCTACGCTTAGTACAATATTTGAGTGAGTGCTGATTTGTGCAAATCATTGTCCTCTGTATAAAGATATTTTGAAGCCTGGAGGAAGGGAACGTTTTTCTATAAAAAGTCTATTCTATTTAAATCCAATTAGAGCATCTTGTTGTTTCTATAGTTATGCAAATATATTGCACCTTTACTCTAAACAATGCCTTGCACAAAGTGATATTGAGATTGGATCTCTCATAGCACCTAAGCACTATTAAGTGATCCTTTATCAGGCAGTATAATGTGTTTTATTGATGTGTGTGATGTGGTGGGTATACATATTTCTTCATTATAACGTGTGGGCCCAGTATTAGCCAGTAAGAACAATATATTATGTAAAAAGTAAGAAGAATCTTTTGAAAATGCCTACTGTATTATCCAAAGGAATTAGCATTTGCTAGATTGCCAGCCAGCCAAGGTTTTACAAGAGTTATTGTCATTTTGATTTTTGGATGAGTCATTTGGTACATTGCCCCCAAAGGCACCTCATTATGATTCAGTGCACAGCATATAAAGTTGCTCAGGCTTTCGGGGCTCCATGGAAAGCGAGTGGGGGTTGCGGTGGCTCAGCGTTGTGAAGCAGCAGCATTATGCTTAATTGACACCTTTGATGTAGCCCTAAGACAGCACCTGCACCTCCCACTGCTGCTCTGAAGACGTCAGCCTTACGCAGAAAAGGCTTCTGCTTATGAATCCTGCATCGCGTTCAGCTCACTCTGTGAGCAGCCCCAGCTATCCTTAACTAATCCCATTGCTTCTCACTTTGGCTACAGCTTGGCTTAGTACAGAGCAGGAATTTTGCTGCTTGCTCTTATCAGGTTAAACAGTCAGATTTTGTCCATGTTAGAACTCATAGAAGGTAAGTCAAATTGTTGATATCCTTAGTATGTAAATATTCTCCTAAAATTCAGAATCTGGGAATCTGATTGTCTGTTCTTTTTATCCTAGCACTTACAAATGTAGACTCTGATTGAGCAGTTGCTTGTTTAAGAATATTTACATGTATATGTGATACTTGCTTCGTAGTGTTTCTGTCAGTGCTTCAATGTGAATATTATTGATAGCATCTCATGTGATTACTTTGTAGTAGAATTCTGTCCTCTGCTGGCATTGTTTTGTTAATTTATTGGATAATGTCCTGTGCATGGGAAGATGCTCCTATAAAGATAGGCACTGACATATGTTAAGAAACTTGCTTATTTGAGAAAGTGATGCTTTCCTGTAAGTCAGACTGGAGGAGTTATATCCAATTCATTTGTCTCCAGAAAGCCCTTCTGGGTTGAGTCTGAGGTTACATTTGGGTCAGATAGTATTGCAAAAATCTCTTCAAATGGTTGAGTGAGAAAAAGCAGGCAGCTGATTTTTTTCTTGTAAGCAACACTGTGTTTCATTTTTAGTGGCCAGCACTTCAAGTCACAGTTAAATGGAATTAAAAGGTTTATATATTGTGTGTTTTAAGGTTATCAAAGCACCTTGTTCCCCATTACTTTCAAGTACAAGGAATAATACAGTTTAAGAAAACATGATCATGTTCTGTGCCATAGACTAAAGTCTTTTCAGGCTTTTTCATTATTTGCTTTCACTCTATATAAAAATTGTCTTGATGAGCTGAAAATCTAAGTAAATAATTATTTTTTGAATTACCTTATTTAATGTTTAAAACATTAAACAAAAGCAAATTAATCTCTTCAACAAACACTGAAAAAAAAATGTTGATTTAACTATTTTTTTCCTTTAATAATGTCTTGTATTTATTTTTCTCAATATCTTGTCCTTTTAGTGAATGGAACCCCTGGTAGCCAACTTTCCACTCCCCGCTCTGGGAAGTCTCCAAGCCCATCTCCCACCAGCCCAGGAAGCCTACGGAAACAGAGGGTAAGGAAATAAGGAAACTGATTTCTGAGCATGGCTTGGAGAATCCAGCATAGCCATTATCCAATAGCCTTCTCCCTTCTGATCCCTTGTGTGTGTGTAGAGCCATAGGGTGGAAGAGCCTGGCTACAGTCCTTGTGTTTGTAAAACACCCTGAAGTGGAATTCAACTGTTCTGTGTCTGTCAAAATGCTAAGTATACTTAGAGCTGGTTTATCCTTGGGAGAAAAAAACGGGGGTTTCTCTCCTTTTTCACAAAACTTTTTATTTGTTTACTTTCTTTTTTTCAAATGTTTCACAACTGAAAGAAAATGTTAAAGAAATCTCTTTTGTTCCTAACTCACTGTGGGCATTCTGCACAACCTACAGAGACGGCTTTGATTTTGAAGCAAGGTGAAAGAATGCACTGTGGAATTTAGCTGTGATATCACAGCCTTGTGCTGTGAAGATACTATCAGCACCAAGGCAAAGTGAGACCTGTCAGTCACTTTCCTGGATGAGAGTTGATAGCAGCTGTAGGTTCCCTCTCGTTATCCTGTATGGAGGAATCTACAATATTCCTAAGCATCCAGAACTAAGCTAATGCCTATGTTACTGCTGTAACCCTCTGATAAAATATTACTTGTTCAACCCAAAAGCTCCACATGCTGATTTAATTAATTTTATCTGTTTAAAAGAAATAAGACATGTCCATGTATTTTCTGCTATTTTCTAAACTGTGGTCAGCTCTCAATGAAAGCATCCCTAAGGCAATACTCTGTATCTCAGACTTGTTTATAAACAGAGTTTGAACGTATGCTTTTTCAGCCTTTTCAGTTTTTAAACAAAGACATAATTTGTGTCTCTCAAAATAAGGGGATTATGTACAAAATTGGCAGTGCTTGACTTCAGGAGCTGGTGCAGACCTGATTCCCCAGATACCCAGATCAGAAATAGCTGTAGCATGGCACAACTCCCTTCTAGCCTGCAGACCCTTCTTCACAGCTGATGTATGTCAGGGAGCTGAGGAATTGTGCACGTCCAAGTCTTACATGTCCCAGTCTGGGGTAGAGCTGGGGGTTTCTGCACACAGCAGATGTGTGAGCTGGCTGTGATCTTGCAGTGTAGGGACAGTCAGTGAGCAGCAGCTTGGAGCCTCAGGGTAGTGTCATGGTTTCCATCATCCAATACACAGAGAGTAGAGATGTAAGTTCCAGTGGGTAAGCTGGTGCTAAAATCTTCTTGAATGCAATGTCTTCCCCACCTCTTTGTTCTTGCTCTCAAGGCTTATTAATGAATCATTAATAAGTCACTGGAGAGGGAACAAAGAGTCTTCCAAATGAATTATACATTGGTGATGTGAGGGCGTCTGTTTAGATGGATGATACCAGTTTACATTGGATTTGCATTTGCTGTAAGGCTGTCTCTTTTCATTGGTAACTTTCCTAAACTTTCTTTCTCACCACTGATGCTTCGCTCTCCACAGTGAAGAAATGTTTTTCTGCTAACGTTTGTGGATGGGTGAGTGGGAACCATGTGATCAGCACCATTAGACACAAGGGGTTTCTAGGCACAAGATTTCTGACTTTCAAATGTGAAGAGGAGACCAGATGGGCTTCTTTTTATGTATGATAGGATCACCGAGTGGCAGTATTATGGATGCAAAGTGCTATGTAGCGGTAACAAAATCAGACTACTAACTGTAGAGAAAATAAATATTGAAGTGTACTAGAGGAGAGGTAAAACATTGTTAGGGAGTTAAATTCTCTTCTCCAGTATTTGTATTCAGTCCCCTTGACCTCAGTAGGGGACTTTTCATGCTTGTCTGGCTTTATTTTAGACAGATTTATTTTTTTTACCTGATGAAACATGGAATATATTCATGTAAAAATAGATTGCAATCATGTAAAATGCATTGCAATAATATTATTTAGGTTACAAGATCAACTCTGAAGTTCAGGGATGGAAACTTAACACTCAGTCTGAGAATTTATTTCATCTGCTTTCATGTTTAGCTTGTGAAGTGGATGAGCTGGAAGTTTAGTTTAAAAACATATCATTGTGTCGTTAAGGGTTATAATGTGGATTCCAGTGAGTAAAAAAAACATTAAGCAATGCTTGAAAATCATCATTTCCTTGTTAGCAGTATAAATGGTGTTCTGTTTAGTTTTAGTACAGTTTCTTGTGTCTTTTAATTTAAATTTTACTTAGAGAGGTTGTTTTATGTACCATATTGTCATGAAACAAATTTAAACCCAAAGTGTTTTGTTTTGTCTTCAATGGCTTCAGCTACAGTGCTGACAAGCCAGCTGCAAGGTGAGGTTTATTCCCTAGGAGGTTGCTGAAGTGCTGGTATCATGTGATAGACATACAAGGGAGAAGAGAAGGATTTAAGTTCCCATCTTGTCCCCAGTGCTGAGATGTGAGGTGTTCCTGCCCTGAAGGAAGAGTGTTGGCTGCTGTAGCCACGGTCTGGGGTTGAAGGTGGTGGCTGTTTTTCTGACTGCTCTGTCTTTCCCTCTTTACCTGCAGTTCTGGGGAGCTACTGCTTTAGAACTGAAATAAGGTGCTGGGTCCTGGGAACACCAGCTCTGTAATTTGTGGTGTTTTGTGCCTCTCTCTGTGCAGTTAGAGTTACAGGAGTTCCTGTTCTCTCATGCCATCAGGTACATGGAATGCCAGGGGTAGGTACTGGCTCTGGAAGGCGATAGGAACATTTCCTCTAGCCTAGCCTGGTTCACCTTGGCTTAACCACTCGATCATGTCTTCAGCATCGCATCCAGTGCTATGAGGGAGTTGTAGGCTTGGGACATCCCAGTGCCAAGGGGTCTAGGCAGGCTGCCAGTGTTTTTCCTGGGAATTACAGCTGAGAGGAGGACATGCTTTTGAATCCAGAGGCACCAAAGCAAGGTACTTCCACTGAGGGAGGGATTTCTTCCTCAGGGTAGTAAAGACCTGTGGATTACATTAGGCAGCTTAAAATAGGGATTAATCATCTTAATTACTGATATTTCATCACTTATCTTTTTAAAAAATAAATTCTGACCTTTGAAGGAAGTCTTTCCATTGATGTAAATAAGGCCAAAAATGCTGCCGTGGTACATACTCAGGAAAACAGTACTCTTGTAAACCTGTAGATAAAATTTTGTTCCCTCAAAAGCCAGAATATAAAAAGATAAAATTTATCTTTTCTCATTTGCATATGTATGTGGCTGAGTTGTTTCCAGAAATTCAGAAGTCAGTGAAAGTTATATTTTTATAATCTTGTGCGAAACTCAGTCTATATTTGAAGAAAGATTTGAAAGATTAATTTCATGGGTGTAATTCACGAAGTTGAAAGTGAACTAGGAACAATTTATCAGCTATCTTAGCTAACTGTCAACCAATTTTCAGCTTCTGAATATTTTAACTAGGAGGCTGTGTGCTATAGTTATTCTTCCTTGCAGTTTAATTATTTCTTTATTCTTAAATAGGAAATTAAGATTCTAGTTTTTAAATTGTTATGAACGTCATTAAGTGTTGGTTTTTTTTTCCCCCAGAAGACTAATGCATTTGAAATTCAGGTTTGAAACAGCAGATTGAAGTAGACTTACTGTGTTGCCCACAAATGTAGTTCTTACTGCAACAGAGTGCAGTTAACTGTGCAGACTCAGAAAAGGTGACATGGCATTTAGGAAAAAAATTAAATACTTTTCCTATGTTCCTAGAGGTTGCAACCTACAGGAAAAAAAATGTTAGGTTTAAGGTACCTCTTGACTGATTAGACAAGCTGAATTCTATGTACATAAGGATTTTTTTGAGTTGCATGTAGCCAAGAAGTCTGATTCATTCAGCAATTTTTGTCTTCTTATAAATCTATGCAAAATAATAAATAGATTCTCCTCACAATTCCAAGAAACACAGCTCTCTGGCTAATCATAGGCAAAGAAAATTCTGTCAGAAAGGAAAACTTTTTAAGACTTTAAAGTATTTAAAAGCAGGTGAAAAAGATGAAAATGACACTGAAATCTGATGAATTATTTTGCTTTAAAGCAATCATAGAGTTATGAAAATAAGCACAAAAATCTTCTCTAAATATTAAAATTCAGAAATATCTTATTTGTCAGCTCCAAATGCATATTTTTTTAATATTCAGAAGCAAGAGCAGTCATCAGGGAGATACTATTCAAAATCTTGGGGTCTTACACTCTAGCAAATCAAAATATTCTTTTTTCCTGTAGTACGTACTAGAAATTCCCAGATTGTATATTCTCAAAAGACATTTTAATAATTAACTAACTAGTTAGTATTCAGAATAATATGGTCTTGTCTGTTTAAGATTGTTCTCTTGTCTAGATTGCAACATAATAGAAATGTATTTAAGATCTGATTTTTACTCTTCCAGTCTAATGTCTTCTACTGTGTGTATACATGCCCATTGGCAGAATATATACAGAATAAGCATTTATTATAATAACCTTTAAGGGACTTAAACCCCTTTTGCATGATGCCTACAAGTAAAACATGAACCTGCATTTTTTATTGAGATCACAGTTTGAAATTCATGAAGCATTCATTTTTGCTGGTCCTTTTTTGTAGTATTGCTTTCAGATTGGTTCATTTTTTGTCTCGGTTATCTTACTGTGATTAGAAAAAGCAAAACAAATCCATTCAAGGTCAACCCAAAAGCTGGCTACATCAGCTGTCCCATTCTCATGTTTTCTTGTACTTTGTCTTACAGGGATTTTTTGTTGCAGTTTGTTCATATGTTCTATATGGATAGGATACCCCCAAAACACCTTAAAGATATCAGAGAATGGCTATGAGATTTGCTGGGCACCTGCCCAGTCAGAACCCCTCTGAACCAGCAGTTATGCTTAATTCACTGTAAAAAGTGAAAAGCGCCCTTGTCCTCTACCACTTCTCTTTTTTGAACTTCCATGGCGTGCGATTGTGTGTCTCGATGAGGGTTGTGCTGTGCAGGTGGGATCAGGCAGTGTATCATCCCATAACACCTCTGGCACTTGAGGATTGTCTGATCCGTCAGAGGATCAGTGTGTTGAAAGAATGAAGTGTACAGATTCACTCAGACTCTCCCTCTGCTGTCATGAGCTGGTTGCTTGGCTACCGACAGAAAGAGGCGGTGATGGGGGGGACAAGTGTAAAACACGCTGTCTTTTTATACATACACACGGGCACAGAGGAGCTGTGGAAAAGGAATACCATTGTCAGCACGACACAGGCAACAGCAGCATTCAGTGTCAGCAGTCCAGGGGTCAGGTGTTGCTAGATCAGTGCTATATCACCAGCGAGTGGCAAGTTTTTATTGCCTAACAGAAGGTAAGCACTTTGCCACTCTGCCACTGCAGATCAGCCAAAAGGGAAATACATTCCCTTTGAGACAAAATTAATGTTTCTGGGTTTCCAAACCGTTAGGAGACTCTCCAGAACAGACAAATATTGTTTGAATAGTGTTTAATAGGGAAGACTCAAAGAAAAAAATAATTGCCTCTGAGAATATGTTGTGCATTGAAACTTCAGCTTTATTTACTAACCATCTATTTTTTTTTATTAAAAAATAACAAAATGACATTAAGACAAAAATATGAGTATGTAGAACATGCATATTTTGTGTTAAACAATGTCTTCTGGTCCACAGTAACAAAAAGAATATAAAACAGTTGCAGTGCAACAAATCAAACAGAATAAACAAATCTATACTGCACTTCATCTTACAGGACCTGTATCGCCCACTCTCTTCGGATGATATGGATTCAGTAGGAGACTCAGTGTAAAAGAGAAAATGGAACAATGTTTATGGTTTGTGATTTGATGAAGGTTTAACATTTTTAAAGAAAATAGCTGCTAATTTACAGTACTAGTGAATCGCACAAAAGAGTTTTGCATATTTAATATTAACAACATGGGGCCAAATTAATTCTAGTGTGTGGGGGTATTTTTTGGCTTTATCACTGCATTCTAATGCAAGAATTTGTAATGAATGAGCCATTGAATATGTCCATCAAATCCAGAACAGCATTGTGCATACTTAAAGGCACAAAGATTGGATAAGGTGAATATAACGCACAAATCCATAGTGGGCACATTTATGAATAGCGCTATTTTTATCATCTAAGGTACTGATTATATGTTCTGTTTTTACCATATGTATCTTTATTCATTTTGATATGAACAGTTAATGAGTACTTTGCTTTTACCAACGAATAGGTAAAATGCAGAGAAGAAAAATCCTGCCATATTAAAATATGCTTGCACCATGCTGTCTGATCCCAACACGCACATTTGGAACGCTCTTAAGTTTAGTCGTTTTATCCAAATGAAAAGAAAGTGAAGAAATCCTGTGTGATCACAGGACAAAGGTAATTCTTTCAAAGCAGTGGTCAAATTCTCTTCACTGCGCTGCCATCTGAGGACTGTAAACAGAAGGGTGTTCCACAGGCATTATGAATGTTTTACCTGGCAAGAGCTGTTAATGCTGCTCATCCATGTGTTGCAAGTAAATAGGGACAGATTTCTGACCGAGGAAATACGAGGGCCTGCTAGCTAGCAGCGTCATCTGACATACATATGATGACATCTTTTGGAAAAATATATTTTGCCTGAGAAAGTAGTTAATTATTTTCACTTATGTTAAGAACGGGAAAATAATTTTTTTATTCCCTGTAAGAAGACATTTTGTGCATTTTAAAAAGAAAGCCTATGGAAATGGTGATACTGTAAATCATCCTCCTATTGACCTAATTTTTCTGGTTTTGCAGTATCTAGAGGTGCTCTTTTTTGTGCAGCATGAATATGCAAAACTCCTTTAGTGTTAAAGTAGGTCGTGCATTATAACCAGTTGCTTAACAAATATCTACTAATTTTCATTTGTTTTCTGCTGCTTTGTTGTGAGAATCTTAGTCTACTTGATTTACATAATAGCAATATTTCCCATTGTATGTTGTATTTAAATCCATAGTGTAGTGATCACACACTTTTGCAGTCTTATACCTTTTCTTTCATTTTCTCAAATACTAATAATTTAAGAATTAGAAATCAGCGTGTTTCTGATTCTCAGCAAAAATCTATAGAGGTTATATTTTTGAGCTATTTAGTGATGATTTAATATATTTTGAAATCAGGAAAATTTACTTAATTGAAGAAAAGTAACTTCTAAATGCCAACTTCTAAATGTAGTGAAATAATTCCTTTAGACTGATTTGTCCGTAATTTAAAACTCAGCAGATGGAAAATGTTGGCATGTGATCTTATGGCTTTACTGTATCAACATGATTTTCTTTACAGAGGATATTTGCAAAAAAAGAAATAAAAGGGCAGCAGAATACAAAACTTAACTTCTCTGTTTCCAATACCTGGTTCCAGTATCACCTGGAGAGAAAGTCACTGAACTGGCAGGTTTGCTGAAGCAGTCAGGTCTTTCACTTTTGAAATGCGTGTTTTGCCGTTCCTGCTTCAGATTTCAATCTAAAACTGTTCCCCACCATAAGAAGAGTCCATCCCTCACCCCATACCACAATGCATAGGCTGCCCTGTTCTGCTGAAAAAGTTCACAGCTGTGAAGTTACTTGCATTTTCGGCTGTTATGAGGGAATGTCTTTGCAAAATGTATTACTTGATCCTGAGAAATGCCTATAAAGGTTCATTGGGATCAGTTTCCAAAAATTCAGGCAACTCAACCAGATTGAGTGAAATACTTACTGACGTTTTCAAAATTGTTTTTTCCTGTAAAGAAAATAAATTCCAGGAGTTTTATTTTTCCTCCCTTCTCCCATATAGGCTACTGCTTCTTTAGGCAGTTATTAAGAATGTTCTGCACAGGGAGCACAGATTGCCAGCAAACCTGAATCCCACAGCTTTGCTTAGCTGTGGAAAAGAAAAATGGACCTTATATCAGTAAATGTTATCATAGTGAGTTCTCCATCAAGACGGTTTAAAAAAGGAATATGCTAGTCCATAACATTTAATCATTTCAACACATGACTTGTATTAAGGGGCTATTCAGGGGCAAGACGTATCATTAATATTTCATTTTAGGAATGAAAGTCCCTTAGAGATTGAAAAGGTACACTGTTTATAGACTTTGAGATCCTTTTTTGTGTGGAATGTAATTCCCATTATACATGAGCAGAAATGAAATGTTTCTTTTCAGCAAGACCAGAAGGTTTCAGTTTATGGGTGAAACTGAAATTGTGTTCCTTGATGCTGTAGTTCTGCTTGGAACAGCACAGGTTTTAGTTCGTTCCTAGATTTCATCAACTGCGTTAAATAATAGAATAGCTTAAGCAACTTTATAGTGTTTGAACCTCTGATAGTTCTCTGTATGCTGCATTATTTGTGCCTACTCCAAGGTGATTATGATGTAGCTAAAGAGTCTTGTATAGATTGTGAAAGCTTTGCTTCCCTTTGAGCTTTATGAATACTTGTGATTATTTCCCTAATGCTTTCTGCAACTTTGTTTTGTTTTGAATTTAGATCTCTTTTCTTCGTTTGTGTAACAAGCTGTTCACATGTGAAGCACAGAACGTGTATGGTTATATTTACACGCACATGCACACGTACATAGATTAATGGCTTTGGAACCCATGCGCTGTTACATCACATTTGTGACTTTAAACAAATAAGTGGGGAAAATATTTTAACAGGAGGATGCTCATCTGGTGGGATTCACTACAGCTCTGTTAAAGTCGGTAGAGCTGCACCAACCATTACTTGCTCAGCAGCTACCCTAAGGAATTCTGTACAATTTTAAGAGATCACATCTACAAGCAAGGGCTAAGTTCAAACTGACCAGAAGTTAGTGGCAAACCCACCATTGACTCCGAGGTGGGAAGGATAGAACCTTACGCACAAATACATACACACAGAGAAAACATTAATCCTAAATTGAAATTTGAATATTTGGAATGGTATTCTTTTGACATGTTCAGTCCTATGCCTCCTCTTGAAAATGGTACTGTTCTGCAGTACATGAAATCATGCAGAATTAGAAGTTCTTTTGCTGAAATCAGTAAGATCTTTTAACATTCATTATGCAATGTGAAAATTGCTTTCCAGTTCGTAAAATACTTCGGAGACAGCACATTATATTTAGTTATTTTTCTCTTCAATTCATTTGCATAGGGCATATTTGGCTGAAAGATGAAAATTATGAGGTATTAATATCATGGCTATAAATGTATATTACAGGAAAGGATATATAATGTTCAACACCCTAAAAAAACAACTGGATTGAGATTGTGTGGAGTAACAATTGAGATAAATAATAGTGTTTTCTTCTGAAGTTTCATAATTCACACAGCAGTGTGAACTTTATATAGTTCATATGTTACAAAATCTGCACTCTGAATGTAAAATGAATTAACGGTAATATAGAAAAGAATGTCTGATCAAGTTTACTGTTTCTGTCAAAAATACAGAGAAATGAACAGACAGAAAATCTTTATGGTGCTAAATTACCTCGTCACTTGATGAATGCATAGATTAATGTTGTCTGTGCTTTTTCTTGTATCCAATTAATGGTGCGCAACCAAATACAAGATCAGTTTTTATTTAATCTTCACTTTCAGTTCCATCTGCTAGTGACAAGAGCTTGTAACTGTGAGTGATGAAAAGTAACTTTACAAAGCACAGACAGCAATACGTATATGTGCAGAGCAAAACAAGCAAGTGGTTGTCACCCTCTTTGGAAATGGGTGTGCTTCCCCCAGGAAACCCCTTCCGTCCAGAAACCAGGGTCTGCTGAGCAGAGCAGGGGCTACTCTGCGCTGTGCTTGCTGCCGTGGCAGTTTTGGCCAGCTCAGTTGGCCTCTCTCCAGCTGGCAGCTGTCCCCAGGCTGTCCTTGATTCCCCATGGCAGGCAGTGGGTCTGTAGGTGACACCTGTGTCGTGTCCACGCACGCCGGCGCGGGGCTGAGCGCGCACACGCGGTGCGCACACGCCTCCTGTGCGGTTTTGTGTCCGTGATTGCGCATGGTGATTTTCCTCCAGTTGGCTTCAGTTAACCCTCAGCAGTGAAGTGTGAAGAAAGCTGTGCTATATTCAGCGTGTACTTGTTGTCTGATGTTACATGGGGTAATTAGGTTGTGGTTTGCCCTGCAATACAGTGTTTTGGAATTTGGACTCTAGCGAAAGAGGAGCTAACAATGTTTGTGCTAAGGCCTCTTCATTTTCTTAGTTGCACTATGATATTGTAAATATTGGCACATTTACAACATACGTTTAAGACTTTACAAAGTTATGCATACAATTATTTTTTTTAATTAAAAGTGCTTGGATATTTGCTTTTAAAAGTATACCATTTTTGTATTAATGTGATGCAGGAAACCAAAAAGAAAGCTGTTGATTTATCAACAAAACATGTAAAACTTGCAAAATAAACACCGATGAATGTTTTATTTCTTATAATCAGCTGAAGAAAATCACCTTCATTTTTGTGCCATTGTTTCATCATACTGTATTGTACTTGTGTTTCATATTTGACCATGTCATCCTGGTTGCAATATGTTATTTTGCTAGTTTTAACATTAATGTAGATTATTGTAAGTGATGTAATAAATATATATTAAAAATACACACTGTTCAGAGAATTTATTTTGGAAACATGATTAACAGGCTTTAACAAAATGCTTGCAGTTGGTATCGCTTGTTCATTTTGGATCAACATCATCCATTTAACCTTAGTGTAAACATATGGGATTCATGCATCCTGATGGGTTCCTTTAAGCAGTAGATGCATTCAGTGTCTTTTTTCAGTAATCAACTCAGGGATTTAGTGTGTAGATACAAAAAAAAATGCTTCAAGGAGAAATTTGGTTTGTAGTGGGTGTTGTGGAGACAGTAAATATAACTGCCTTGAATTGCTTATGGGTAACTTTGCGTGCACATGACGGGATAGATTTGAAATATGAAGTGGGGAATTAGCAAGGTACCAGCTCCCTACCAACATCTGAGCCCCAGCAGCACTTCTCCTAAGACAAGTATTAGGAAAATATGCTTGTGAAACATACCAGGTATGTCTTAATTAAGTGCCTAATTTTCTGGTACATCTTTCCACTCTTTAAAAATGCATATCCGCATATCCATAGCCTAGTTTTATTTCTTGTTTGGCAGGGGTGGGGGAAGAGAGATGTTACACATTCTGACATGTCATCTGCCAGCCTGATGCTTCAGCTGATGTTTGTACTTTCCTGGAAGGAACTGTGGGCCTGATGAAAGTTCTAGTTTTGAAATGCTTTTGGTTGCTGGTGTATATAGGCCTGCCTAAAAATGGTATACACACATGGAAAGAAAACAATATGATAGAAATGGGGAAGAGTATAAGCAAAATAACTGAGGTTTCTTTCTCTACCAAGAAACAGTTGAAAATACTGGGAGAACTTTTGAAATAAAACTAAACAATTCAAAGTCAAGCCATTATTTTGCAGTGCCCTTAATTAGGTGAAAGAAATAAGAACCTTCTTTTAGTTGGTAGCTTTTCCATTTTTATTCTGCAGTTGGGTAGAAAATTTTACCTGTGTATAACTTTAGAAGAGGTAAAAGGAAGCCTTCACATTGTATCACTGCACATATAACTTTTTATGTTAACCACAATAAGGATACAGAAATGACAGTAATAACTTGCAATGTCATGAATCTAATACTTCACTTTTTCTATCATCAATCTTTAATGGGTGATGCTAAAGGCTGAGTGAGCCTAGAGTGAATTATGGCTCAACTTTGGAAGCAGCTGTTAGGAGCTAGTGGAGGTTAGATTTGAATTTATTGTTAAATACCATGTAGGAAACTACGTTGGTCTTTCTGAATTGTCTTGTTGCACAAATCAAATGAGTGTATAAGTATCCAATGCTGCAGCCTAGTCAGGGGACCTTAATAAAACAAAGTGCTTCAAGCTTGCAAATTTAACTTCAGTCTGTCAGCTCCATTTCCTTGCAATCTCTCCCATTTGTCCCTCTATCCCTCAAAGAAGAAAACCAACACAAGGCCCTGATAATATGCCAGAAGTTTTCTTGTGTCATTTGAACTTACCTCTTCTCCAAGCTGTGTAAATCCGGAATTGCATAAATGAACAACAACAAAACCACTTCCCTGTGTTGGGCCTCTCTTAAGTCAAGTGTCTAACAAAACAGAGCAGGATATAGAATTGTGAATAAGTTTATAAGCAGGTTCACATACATTTTTTACTGTTCCTTTCCAGATGAAACAATTTATAAATAACTTTGAATCTGACGTGCTCATTTAGTGCAGTATCCAAACTGGAAAAGAAAACAATTGCACCATTTCTCTTTCTATACATTGAACTCCATTAGTTTCCATTCTTTCAGCATGAAGATTGTGGATTTCATGTTTCTTCATAAAGCAATTTTTTTGCCAACTCTGTACTGTTTACATGAAAGCTTTATTCCCTGTCTCAGCTGGCTGGGCAAAATAACGTAAAGCTAAACAAAAGAAAATAAGAACCATTTTTCACTGGATATAGTTGGGAGAGGGATTTTCAGTGTAACCCTTTGCTTCTCTCTAAGTTGAATAATAAAAAAAAATCAGTTTATCTCCTTAAAAGTTACATCAAAATGTATTACTTTACTGTTTTAAATCAGCTGTCCTCTGCTTTTGTTCTCTGGTCATGTACCATTTTGCTATTCATTGACTCACTTATTTCTTGCTCAACACTGTTACATATTAGGGGAATTTTTTGATCTCCTTCCAAGTCTTTCAAAGCTAATACCTGAACTAGATGGTTGTCTTTATTTTACCATTATTCATGATCATCTTTAGGCAAAGGAACTGAGCCTGTTGGGAAGTCTGACAAAGGTTGCTTTATGACCAGGCCGAACACTAGTATGGGCTCCAAAAGAGGTGAGCGTGGGGGCTTAAATGCTTAGTTTTGGTTTTAAAGCTATTTTTCCTTACTGAGTTGAACTTCATCTTACACATATTACTGACATGCTTATCTTTTTGTTTGGTTGGTTGTTTTTTTTTTAATTCTGTAGAGTTCTTTGGAATAGGGACATCTGAGGAGGCATAATTTAAAGACATTAATAATTCCGTTCTCCTGCACCTCCTTCCTGAACTTACATTTTGTTTACTATTTTTAATCCTCACTTCATTAAGCCAGTTCCTAAAAGAGTAGAATTCTGCATGAGATCCAAATTTAGCGTTACACCTGTGTCCTTTTACTCACATTTCATCCAGATGCTTCCTTCATACTGGAAAAATACAAAGGAATCTATTGTTGAGAGACATTGTAGACTCCACATATGCTAAGAAAGGTTTTGAGAGGTTTAGAAAATTGAATGCAGTGTTTGGGATTTAAGATTCAGGAATCTGAATTGAGCTCACAAACTTCCTAGTCATACTTAAGTCTCTTTTCATAAATGCTGATACTTATAATCCACAAGAATAATTCCTGCTGTTTAGTTGGAGTGGGATTTTAAGATTAATTTAGGACAAAGGTGAGTATCAGGAGAGAGACATTACAGTAATTTTTATTTTGCTGCTTTTTTTTTTTTTTTTCCATGGATTTAGCGCAGTTTCCACTGAGATACAAACTATTTACCAAACAGTTGCTGAATAAATCTCCAGGTGAGACATGGCTGAAACTCTATAGCACTAATGTTTCCATTCACATCAGTGAGGTGTGTGGTGTGCTGGCCATCTGTTACATAAACCTGAATAGGATCTGAAATCCTTACACCAAAGACCTGATGTTTTTATGCCATTGCTTTTATGAAAGTGTGCCATAAAACTGGCCATGTGTTGGCAACCTGTGCAACTGGACCCCTTTAAATCTGTGTGAAAGTGATGACATTCCAAGCACCTCAGCATCTCTTAAAATTAAAACAGCTAATTGCATTAAAGTCTGTGTGTTGAAGAGATTATACTCTTGCTTTGGGTTTGTTTTCCCCCTCCCCATCTGCAAGATCCCTGATGGGATCCACATCTGTGAGAGCAACAGCGTGCACGACAGACTGCCTCACGATTGGCAAGCCAACTGGAAGGAACGCTGAGACCCACAAGGATTGCTGGACCCGCAGGGCTCTCAGCTTGTGAGAACAGCGAGCTAATTAAAGTCTAAATAAATGAAATCTCTTTCTAGCTGAAGTAAAGAAAAATAAATAAATGCCTGCCTGTTGTTGGAGAGGACTGAATAAAGATGAAAATATTTGTGTCGTGTTTATCCAGTAACATCTCTTTAATTGTGAAAGGGGGGCCAGCAGCAGACAGCAAATGTCCAGTTCCTGATTTATTTTCAATCTGTTGTTTCAATAGGAGGGGTTCAGCAAAGGTAATGAAGAGTATGTTTTTATATATATTTCAATAATTATTTAAAGTTTTAAAAGTCTTGGTGTGTATTTTTAGCACATCTTCCTAGCTACTTCTTCCTTGTCACTGGCAGGTTCTGCCTCTGCCTCCGTGCCAGTGCCTCACAGGCTGATGTCACCAAATGGGCTGTGTGCTTTGTTTGCACACCAGTGGTATGGTATATGTTGCTAATGTATTATTTCAGTTCTTCTGTAAGAAATATCATTTGAACCATCTTTAATAGTGCCAATAAGAAAAGAAGTAGAGAAACTTAAAGCATCAGTATGAGGTCAGTTTTTTCTTTTAGGTTTTCTATGGGCCACTTTTTTTTTTTCAGTCTATTAGACTAAACCTAGGTTAAATACATGTTTAAAGGTTTTGCCTAAAACATATTTAGGAGCCAATTTAATTTCAGTCATGTGTAGACCATTAAGATTATTTGTATTTAAATTGAAGCACTTGCTAAAATGCTTTTTTTGAATGGCCCTTTGAAGATACCTAATTTTGGAAGGACTGAGCAATTGCATTTTTCAGCTAAGCCTTGTTTTAAGGTCCTTGAAAAATTAAGTCCTCAAATAGAAATTTGAGTGTCTCTAGGCACCCATTCTGAAAAGATGTGGCCACTGAGTCTCGATTTTCACATCTCCCATTCTCACAAATGAAAGCAATGACTGCAAGACTGTAAAGAAACCATCAGGCTGCTAAAGAAGCTGCAGTGCTGTGCAGTCAGCAGCCTTGACCTAACATCTACTTTAGAGTGTAATCTCACTATTTAAAGTGCAAAGAATGAAAAAAAAGTAGCCACTTAATAATCTGTTGAAAATTTAGCACTAACCTCTTTGTGATTTACTCCTTAAATGTTGTAATGATTCATTCCTGATCATAGAAGTAACAAATGTTAAACATATTTAAATTGTAATTCCTTTCAGAAAATGCTATGGAGTGGGAAAATAAGTAAGAAATTGGATGTCTGTTCTAGGAAAACAAACAAACACAGCTGAATGAGTAGAGAGAACATGTTTTTCTGCTTAGTTTATAAGCAGGACTGTAAAGGAAACAATTCTCTCATTATATGTGTATAAAAATAGGCTTTGAGACTGACTTCTCCAGGCATGAGAACTCCTAGCATTTCCCCGTTACCTTGATCCACATCTGCTCATTTGTTCAAAAATGCACCAGAGGTAAGTTTTTACTGGGATGTCACGCAGAGTTTAGCACAGGAATAGCGCATAAATAAACACGTCCTGACCATGAAACAAGGGCAGCAATATCTT